GACGTTGTCCTCGTTGAGAAAATTGTAGGAGTCGCCGCTGTCCACAGGCTGAGGACCTTCGGCCTCATCCACCACTGCGCTTCCTCCGCTCCCGGAACTCAGGCGGTCCTCAACTTTGACGCTGCAGCTATATTGCAGACCAGCGGCATAGCTTATTGGAACAGCATCCCTCATCTCATAACCAGCAGGAACAAGAGGGTCGCACTTGTCGTCGTCAGCATGATCAGGTGCAAATGCTGCTGCTTTGATATTGCTGGTCTCCTCTTTAGCTTCAAGTTTCTGGTTTATGGAAACCACCTGCGCATTAATTGATTTCATTTAATTAATTAATTAATAACAGAAGTTACTGATAATGATGAAATAACCACTAATTACTATCCTGCATCTTATTTTAATCAGAAAGAAATAGTCAAGGAAGAATATGCATCTTTTTTATACCCTATAGTATATTCATCATGTGACTCTGAAAGTGGCTTTTTTTAATGTTCGCTATATATATAAAAGAAATTCTCCTATACAGATATCTGGACGTTATTATCGTGCGAACGTAATATATTTTGTACTAACCTTCCTTGCTTTACTGACTATTTACAATAGCATCCGCACGATAATAACGTGTGGACATCCGAATAAGAGAATAACTTATATATAGACACCACCAGCAATTTTGAATTGTGTTACTACACCAGCTGCTTAGCTAGGTTTCCACTAGAGTGTAACAATAATTAAAGAGTTGATTAAACCATTTTAACAAGATAATTATATAATCAATTCACTAATGAGGAAGCAAGCGCAGTAGTAGTACCTCGGATTTGAGCTTGTGATTCTCCTTAAGGATAGAGTCATAATTAGACAAAAGGGAGTCGTAAGAAGATTTGAGAAGATCATAATCGCGCTCGAGCTGCTTTGTCTTCCATCGAGCCCTGCGGTTCTGGAACCACACAGCCACCTGCCTTGGCTGCAGCCCCAGCTTCTTGGCCAGCTGCGTCTTCCGCTCTGGCTCCAGCTTGTTCTCTGTCTCAAAGCTCTTCTCCAGCATATGCACCTATTCATCAAAATTAATTTAACACTAATTATTAATTAAATCAGAAAATAATCAATACTCTCTAATTAGTCACTCACACTGAATCTCATCAACCCACCACATCCATCACTTCATTAATTATAAGTCAAAACAGAAGCGAACAAAATTTAGATAGATCGGATCAGATTCCCACTAGCAAAGGAGAGACTTTGATTTTCATGAATTGATGCTGAGAAGGTGAATATGCCAGCATCAACATATATTTCATTTTTTGAACCACAATTCATATATTCCTTCCTGATTTTATTTTATCCACGATAGTCTAAATTAATCTAATCTACGAGAAGAATATTTGAACTTCGTATCCACAATAGTCTAAATTAATCTAATCTACAAGAA